ATTTTACATATAGATATCATGATATACTGTAGAGAGCTGTGACTGCCAATGGGCTTTATCTTATAGACTAAAGTTTAGGGCCATTTTAAAAGGGCTTTCCTTGATGGAATGTTAAATATGAATACTTCAAAAGGTTACAGACAAGGGAAGTATATGTCCCAGTTTTCCCAGGTAGTTCTTGGTAAGCCTGTGTCCCAGGATCCTGTTCAATTAGTGCCTACTCTCATCATCAAAAGTATTTGCATTTGGATGACAAATTATAGTATATTTTCTCCCTAGTTATGGGGGACCTGGTAGGAGGGAATACTTTTTGTTACTGGCTAACATTTGCTAGTGACATTCCAGGCCTTGGTTTGACCACTTTTTATGCATTATTCTCATTTTAACCCTTAAGACCATAATTAGGTGCTGTTAGAAATAAACAACCTAAGTCTCAGACAGGTAAGTAACTTGCCCATGTTCAAAAAGTTATTAAGTGATAGTTATTAAGTAGAAGCCATGTCTGGCAAACTCCAGAGCTGGTGCACTTAGTTGATGGATTCTTGTCTTCATCCTTTTTTATTAGCAAGTGGTCTGAGATGTTGGACTTGAGTCCCAGCTGCCTGAAATCCTCAGGAATTCCAAGGAAGCAGATGTAACCTCAAGTGGCCAGTGGGGCTTCCTTCTGGGGAAGCTGTGTCCCTTGGTTAGAGAAAATGAAGCGTTTGTACTCATCTGAGTATTTCAGATAATCTGGAGGGACACCCTGTCCATCCCTCATTGGGAGGAATGCCTGTTTACAGGCATGCTGAGCTTATTTTTTTATTTATTTTATTTTCCCAATTAAAGTATAACGAATCCGCTAATACCCTGAGCCACATAGCCCTGCCAGTTGGGCATTTTGGGGTAGGTAAAATGAAGAAGTGTGAGGACAGCAGCCTGCCCTGGGGTGAGAAGAGAAAAGAGCAGATCTGTATGCGTCCTCCCAGCCGGCAGCTCTCCCTCTGCTGTGGCCTGTTCTGGGACTGCGGGCCAAGGAGCCTTGGAATTGCTTAGACCTGCCTCTGTGCCTTTAGCTGTCCGGGTAAAAACATCACCTCTCTGGAGGCCTGTGCTGGAGCACAAACCCACGTATTGTCTGGCCCCTGGCAGGCTGGTCTGTGGAGGGGACACTCTAAGAGCTCTATTTTAATCTTTTGGAGCTGAGCCAGGATAGGAATTCAGCTGCCAGCCCCAGGCTCCCCACCCCCCCCAGCTCTCACCCCGCCCCCACACCCCCTTCTCCTGGTTTCATTCGCTCTGACCTCCCATCATGAGAGGTGCTGGTGTTCCTTCTTTCTCCCTTTCTCTTTTTTAAACTACTAGGGCTCTTTCATGGATTTGACCTCCCAAAGTGAGGCAGACCAGGCTCCTCAGTGGGCTACTCAGGGGCTCCGAGTTGGCGTGAGGCCAACCCTTGAATCGTGAGATTTACCTCCAGATGTGTGTGCCTCTGTTGCTTGTGTGGACGTGCGTATTTGTGTTGCATGTGAGTGAGGGATCTGTGTGTGTTTGTGTGCTTATGTGTGTTTTTTGTATCTCCATGATTTTTCTCTCCATGTGAAGAAAATGTATAGAATGCAAAAATTGAGGGGAGGAAAGGATGGAGGGGCAAGAAAAGGGTGGCCTAAGTCCATAAACCTCTTCTGCTTCCACCAACAGTACTTTCCCTGCCAAAAGTCAGATAATTTCAGCTGTCCCTCCAACTGGGTCTTCTTATTCCCTCCCCCAAGTCTCTTGGGTCTGTTTTTCTGGGTAGCAATGAGTCTTGCAGAGGATACATGACAGGCATTGGGCTTCTATAATTGAACTTGAACTTCAGTCTTCGCTCTGCCAAGTGCTGGTTATGTGATAGGGGACGTGCAATTTCCCCTTCCTATGAGCCTCAGTTTCCCAATCTGTAAAATATGGCTAATAATGCTACCAACTTTCACAAAAAGTAGAAAGTAGAAGATTTAATGGCATTCAAAAGGTGACCCATAAATCTTGGCTCCTTTCCTGCCTACCCATCCTCTCCCAGGACTAAGTCCTAAGGCAGCCGTTGGGCCTGGCTACTGGCTCCAGTGAGGAAGCCCCCAGCTGGTAGGGAGAGGGAGAGGTGGCAGAGGGTGTGGACCTTTCTCTCCCACTGGGAATCTCCCACCTTCTCTCACCCCCATCTTTCTGGCCTCTGCCAATGATGTGCATTTTCCCCTCTGCACCGGCCTCCCAAACTGACTCATTACCTCGACAGGGTAGCAACTTCCAAAACAAAACTTGTTCAACCAAGGAAAATATAACTATGGAGAGGAAAACATTTCAATATCAGGCCTCCTGGGACCCAAGGAAATGTACTGAATGTTTGTCAGAGAATGATGCTGTCCTGACTTCACAGGGTCTGCCGAGGGCAGAGGGAGAACAATGCCTGGCACTCGACTCTGGCCCAGCCAAAATGGCCCAGGCATCCTCCAAGCTGGTGCTCAAGATGGCCGCGACTTGGAAGAGTCAGTCGTGTGTCTAATGTTGTGCCTCCCAGCAGGCCCACCGAGGGACGAGGAAGAGGAGCCCTGTGCTCTCTTCCATGCCAGTCTCTCCCCTTTTCTTCCACCCCAAAGGAGATGCCATTTCAGCCTTGCTGTCTGGCAAAGGGCCTGCTTGCTTCACGCCTGGGTTCTGGGAAATGGCTAATAGAGCACATTCCACACTTAATAATAGCACCCCCTGGAGTTGTGCAATGCTCTGACCCTTTCTGGGACACTCCAGGGAAGGGATCTTATGGCGGTGATCAGGGGAAATCTAAGAGAACAGCTGATGGATGGTGCTGGTGTCAAGTGAGATGCTGGGGAAAGTCCAAGGAATATTCCAGACCACATCGACTTTGGTTGCAGGACAGGGGTACTGAACTAGGTGGAATTGTTTTCTGGGAGAGACTAGAGTCAGGTGAGGCAGAAGACTGATTTAAATCTTTCCACAATGAGGAATTTTTCTGTGCCCGAGGGAAATACGGGGAAGGGTTGCTGAGCATAGATTTCTCACAGTTAATTCTTTACGAGATTCAATGTCACCTACTTATCTTCCACAACCTATGTTCCCCTACAAGAACTACAACAGCACAAAACATATCAACAAAATGAAAACATTCTGAGAATCCCTACTCATCCCTCATAGGTACTCAATGTGAGTATTTTATATTGGTGGAATTATAAAGCTGAAAAAGAGCTTACACATTTTATAGATGTCTTTATCTGTAAGTTCAGAGAGGAGAAGTATGTATCTTGCTTGCAGTCACGGAGTGCCTAATCCTGAGCTAGAACCTGGGGCTGGTGGGAAAGGTCTAGGTGCTTGGTTGTCTTGTTTGGCTTCATTTGCAATCATTATCTCTCTCTCTCTCTCTGTGTGAATGTCCCCTTCATGTCAATCTGTGCAGGGTGACTGTTCCACAGAGAGTGCCTCCAGTGGCCAATTTTCTTCCTTTCTCAAAGGACCTAATTCCATGGCACACGGCACACTGGAAAGTCAGAAGTCCTGGGCCCCAGTTTTCACTTTACTGAGCCTTACTGTAAATCGGAGATAAAAGGCCTTGCCTGATAACCTCACGGGGCTGTTTGTCAAGGTCAAATAGGACGGTGCTTGCGAAAGTGTTGTATAAACATATAGGAGATTGCAGTTATCAAAAGCTTGATTAAGAAAATGGTATGGGCGAAAGTGGCCTTATTGGGCATTGGAAGAGTTTCGCAGGTTTTCTAGGTACTTAGAGGATATAGCTTGGATGGGTGATCTGCGTGTCACACTCAGTGGTGCCCAATCATTGGGCAAGATGTCATGACACTCAGGTAACTGCTGGCCATCTGGAAGTGCACCCTGCACCACGAGAAAGGGCATGTTTCTCCCCGGACCCTTGGCTTTCATCTAGGGGCCAACCCCAATCAAAGTACTCTAGAGATGGTGTGTGGGGTGGGTGGTGGACTTTCCAGGAAGTCCTGAAAAAAATACTTTCAAGGCACCCTTTTGGACAAACTGAGCTTCATCTGAGCCATTTTATTATAATTATTATTTTGGTAGGGATAGGGTTTTGCTATGTTACCCAGGCTTGTCTTTAACTTTTGGCCTCAAGCTATCCTTCTACCTTGGCTTCCCAAAGTGCTGGGATTGCAGGCATGAGCCACCCTGCCCAGTCTAAGCCATTTTAGAGAGCTTCAGGCTGGTCGGCATCTGAAAAGTTCTTCAAGTACATTCTTTAGGGAGAAATTAAGCAATTTAGGGGATGTAACCTGATTTTAAGTGCTCTCTCCACAATATCTGGCGGTTATCAGTTTATCACTCACTTAACGTGTCTTTGTGTCACGAGCTATATGACGTGCTGGGGAGATGGTGGCCAAGAGAGTAGGCATTTGCATTTGACTTAGAGCATCTGACCTGGTCTAATACACACCCGGTGCCTAACTTCCTCTAATCAATATCTAACACCAGTCTCTTCTTTGGCAAAATAATTTAATGCAAAGATTGACAGGACAGGCCCCTACAAGGAGCATTACATAAGGGTGAGAATGCCATATGCTACCTGAAGAGGAAATGCATTTGCAAAAAATTATTGCAAAGATCCAACTTGACATTGTGACGATATTGGGCAAGAGTATTTCCTTATATGAGTTTTTTTCTCCTGCTCAGTAGTCACTCTAAATTGATAAGAAGCTCTTTGTTTTAAACTTGCCTAATTCCCTAAAATGATTATTTTTATTATGGAGAAGAAGGAATTATTTCTTGTTGACAGGTAGAAATATTGCATATTGCTTGGCATAACTTATCAAAAGTGCTCAACATTCAGTGAAGGTATACTTCTTACTCAGCAGGTTAAATTTGAAAGGCCTCCTCTTACCCTTGATCCCATTCTGTCCCTCCCCTAATGCCTCCCAAGAGTGTTCATAGAAGACAGGGGATATTAAAGAACAATGTCATCTGTTTGGTTTGAAAAAGAAGGTAAACTTTTATTTGGAGAAAGAATTAGGAAAAGAAAGTAATGGTTTGCTTAGAAAGATGACAATTTACATAGGGAAAACAGCACATTTGGCCAGGACAACAAAACAGCCCTCGGAGGCTGTCAGGAAAGCTGACCACAAACATGCCAAGAAAGAGTTGAATTTGTGTGTGTGTGTGTGTGTGTGTGTGTGTTTAAAAGAATTCTGTAAAACAGCATAAGACAAATACATGGTCCAAAGCAGCACATTTCCTGTCCTTGGGAATTTGGGAGAATCTTTGTGCAGGTTCCTGGTATGGAAATGATATCTTTGTGGTCTTCTTAAACACAGAAGAAATCTCATATCTCAGCCAGAGGGAGTGGGTGCAGAAGGAGTTTCATGAGTGCAGAAATAGAAGGGATGGAGAAGTTGAGATAGGACAGCACATGCAGAAATGCACTGAAGATACTTAAAGATGCCATGCAGTGGAGGAAGAAGCAATATTAAGATGGCCAAGCTCCTGGATGCAATTGAGTGAGAGTATTTGCCATAGCATCCTGTTGCTGTATTCAATACTTGGCAATGACAGGTTATGAAAGAGAAGTAACCCAAATGCTATTCATTAATCAAGAGCCAACTGGTCAGATTTTGCTGATAATTATCAAAACAATGCCCCAAATGATAACTGTTCCAAAATTTTAGTGAGAAGATTTTTAAAAGCTCAGGTTGAAAAAATTTTGTCTTTACTGAAACATGGAAAAAGCATTAGGTAAGCCAAGTACTAAGAACTCCATTAGTTTATTATTTAATTGACATTTTTCCACACTGAAGACAAAGGGCTTGGAAACTATCCTTGAAACAGCAAAATGTTTTATGAAGAATCAAAAATATTTTTGACTTCTTCACCCTTGAATTATTTAACAGATATCAACAAAATATCAGGTGAGATACAAAGTATAATTAATGCTTATGAAACAAAGTCATTCCCTCTGATAGCTAAGATTTCTTCTGCTGACAATTTTTCTTGAAAATACAATTAAGCAGGTAGGAAATTACCAAAAATACTTGCCATTAGAAAAATTATCTTAATTCTTGTTAATCCCTGACCTCTTCTTATAAATTGGTAGATTGAAGAAACATGCATTTTACCAGTGCTGTTTTTGATTGAGGGTACTGGCCCTTTACAATATCCATTTAAAATGTTCAAATAGTTTCCAAATGTATATACTACAAAATATTATTGTTTCAATATTGGAAGTCATATTTAACACACCATACATGATTCATTTGCATATTTACAGGGGGTTAAAGCACACAAAATTGTGCAGATAACATACTGAAGTCTAAACTTTTACACTCAAGTTGCATACATAGCAACAAGATACAATAAATTTTGAACAAGTAACAACCAATAATCAGCTAGGTTACTATGTACATATAGGGCAGGAAGCAATTAAATACTGCCTAATAGAATGTCACTTAAATTACTTTTTCTATGAAACATCTCTCCATCACCACATACACACACACACACATACATATATGCACACACACATACATACATGCACACACACATTCTTTAATTTTTTTTCCATCACATCACAAACATAAAACTGATGCTTGTGGCAACATATGTGGAATATATCCAAACATCTGATTTGTCACAAGGCAAGGGGCAACACAGCAACTCAGAGTGATTTACAATTTACCAGACTTGGATTTTGAAAATCAGTTACTAGATGATGAATACTGTAAAAATATATTCATACTTTCATGTCACAGACTAAAGGAAGAGAAGCAAAGAGCATTAACCAATAGCTTCATAAGCTTTGCCACTAGGTTAAATATTGGCTTTTGCTAAAATAATAATAAAAAAAGGACCGTATCTGGAGGGGAAGGACCCTAGGATAATATTTAAAATAATGACAACAACAAACCTCCTACTTCCTTTATCAAAATAGAATATTTTTCCACAGTCCACTTATTGTTAAACAAAACCAACTGTTCTTTTGAATAACCATTTTACAAATTCATTTTTAATGGAAACAGAAGAAATAATTGAAATAACAAATATAACTACTGTGTGCAGATGCGGTGGAAAAACCAGAGACCCGAAATATGGCAAAATCAGTGCTTCATAAACAGTCAATGGATTTTTCTAAAAATACTTTTTGCTAATGGCAAAGTTCAACACCTCAGAAAAACTCTGAATTAAGATCTTAGAATAAGTTTCCAAGCTGTACAACATGGTTTCAAATACACTACCCTTGTTGTTTGTAAGGCCGCATTGAAGTTTAGCTTAACAGTCATAAGCCACGTGTTTGAACATCTTATGAGAGGTGACTGGCAAAGAAACCAGTTTTTTCCTTGTGTACCCTACTATGAAGAGATACCATTTCTTTCCAGAAAGGTCCTTAAAAAATTTCCTTAAAGATATGATCTTGGAAAAAAAAAAGTCCAGCTTTGCTTCGTTGAATCATCTGGAAAAATGTTTTCACTTTAAAAAGTGACAATGTAGCACTTGGAATTCTCTGAGAGTGTTCTCTTGTTAATCTATAAGTACCCTCTCTTACTGGTATGTTATAGTTTACAAGCAAACATACCAAGAGATGCACGCTGTCTTTGAATGTAGCTCTGCTACATACAAGGTTGAGAGAACTATAGAAAAATAGTGTCATCTTCCTAACATGTATACATTTTCAGAAGCCATTGGATTCTGTGTGCTGTTAACATAACTGTGGAATTTAAATGCACCTCAGACCTCTTAACAGCTTGAGTTTACAATTCTCCAAGAGTACATCTTGAGTGGAAGATGAAGAACAAGAGGAGGCCGAGGAGTTGGGATTTTCTGGTATGCCCCATCTAACAAAGTTATCTTCAAGGGAAGAACTCAAGACTCACCAGGGTTCACGTTTGTGTGGCAGGATAACAATGAATGAGAGGCCAGCCCTCTTTTCCACTTGTCTGGCACGATCTCCTGGCAAGGATGGGGTAGGAGTTTGCCAGGTGGCTACTGGACAAGGTCTCTTTAGGGGAGTACAACAAGGCTTCAGTCATTGCTTTTCATAAAGTGCTTTGGGATCCTTCAGGAAAGAGGACTGGTGAAATATTATTACTAACTGGCTTCAATTTTCAAACCAAATGGAACCATTTTCTCCAGTGTAATTATTGCTTCGAGCATTAGTGAATGTTGTTAAAATGGAGTGGATCTCATTTTTAAGTATCCACTTCTTGAAATGCTCATTCCGTGGAAAGAATGTTTTTAATTACTGTCTCTCAGGTATGCTCACCAATTAAAAGGATGTGATAGCCTTGCAAATGGTTGCCAAGCATATACATGGATGGCTTGCATTTTCCAGGCTGTCCTCCCTCATGAGTCTATACAGCAAGAGCAAAATCAAAGATGTATAGCCCAACAAGCACTAGGTCTGGCTGGCTGAGGAGACAGACTCGTGCCTCTTCTGAGACATTGCTGAGAAAATGTATGGTGAATGTGTGGCTACATTCTTAGATAAGATAGACAGCTCCTTGTGGCCCAGGAATGTATTTTACCATGATTCTTTGGCCTCTGTGGGACTTAGAATAGAGATAGACATACGGGAGGGCCTTAGTCAATGATTTTTGAGGATTTTCACAAATGATGAGAGCTGAATATTATAAGTGAGAGTAAAGCATGTTAGGAAAACCCTGGAAAAGGAGACCTGGGATAAGAAAGTTTCCTCCTGAGACCTCAGATTGGACTCAAAAAGAATAGAAAGACAAAAGTTCATCATATCCAAATAAAACAAAACAAAAACAATAAAACAAAAACAAACAAAAAGTCCTCAGACATTGTAAAATATCTACAATTAGAAGACTGGCTGAATGAATATAGGACTGGGAATTAGAGAATATGGTTGTCTCTCATAAGAATGTATTATTAGTAATTTAAACTGGGCTCACAAAGTGTTGCAAAGTGCAGGTACAGGAGAACCTATCTGAACAAATAGCTAGTTATCGAGGATATAACATATCCACTTTTCCATAGGAATATTGCTGAGAGATTTTTAAGCAGCTTAAGTATGCCCATTGAAATCTAATGTGCATTATTCATTTCATGGGCATGCCTCATTTCCTCATAGAAGAGGAAAAAATAACATTCTGTCTCCAGTATAAATTAGTGGGCTTTAAATTAATGCAGTTTTGGTCCAGTACACCAGAACCAATGAGAGATCAGAAGGGTGGGTCAGTTTCTACCTTTGCTGCTTGTTGAATGGCTCCCATCTGGTTCACAGTCACAGTCTTCCTCCCATGTTATCACCATGGTCAGGATCAGAGAATTGCTTGGCTTCTTAGTTCTTGACAATTCCAGAATCTTATTTCATAAACTCATTCAAAACATACACAATCTATCTTATTGATATAATTAGACATAAGTACGAACTGAGTGCAGATGACCCTGTCATTCCTGTTAATAACTAGGAGGCATAAATTTTAAATGACATTTCTCCCAAATTTGCTTTTTAATTAATTAACTTAGCTTAGATATCTATGACATGGAATTTGTATTCCCTGGCAACAAGGAGTTTTGTGATATTGGAAACCTGTTAGGTAAAGGTTTAGCAAAGGACTTGAATTTGGAATTAGAAGGAGATAGGTGATTTGCAAAATAGATTAGTAGCCTGTAGACAATCAAGAGTTGACTGGATATGTACCAATTCCCAGTTGAACAGCCTATTTATTATAAAGGAAATAGCTCTGGATTCTGACCCTAACTCTGAGACTAAATCAGCTCTGCAAACTTGAACAAGTCACTTAACTTCTCTGGGCCTTAATTGACCTATCTGTAAACCCAAGGACTTATATAAATTTTATGGTCCATTCTAGTTCTAACATTGACTTTTTGCATACACATAGAATTCACTTAGATAGAAGAAAACTGCATTTTAAAATCCTCCCAGGCATGAAAAAGGAGCTGTAGTGATTCTGATCAAAATTCTTTGGGGGGGGGGGTCATTGAGTATAAAATCTCTTAAAAAAATAAAGACTGAACTCTGGGCTTTAGTTTCCTAATGACCATAGGCCATGGGCCAAATCTGTACCTTTCCAGTAGGGTAATTATTTATGTTCAAATCAAATGTTTTAAAAATGGAAGGGATCAGAATAACATTGTGAACAGGGGACTTTGTGTGAACTCCCATGAGGAGGAATAGTAGAACTGTGTGGACAAGGATAAGGCCATAAAGAGCAATATTTAACTGAAATGCCTGTGAAGCAGAAAAGGACCATTTAGAATGTCAGTGAACTGAATGGGTCTTGGCTCCAGGAGATGAGAAGACTCATGAGTTTTCTGAATATGCAGTGTGATTTATCTTTGAGTTTCTTGTTTGTGAGAGATTCAGGTAAGGGGCAATGAGACCAAAGCAGGATTTCCAGGTGTTTTTGAACATATCCTTGGAATGAACCACTGGCAGGGGCTTCTAAGGAGATTTTCCCTGAGGCCAATGGGCTGGATGATCTTGGGGCATAATTGACACCGGGAGGGATGGGTTGAAAGGGGGAAGGTAGACACCCCAGCCCTGAACAATCTGTTCCTTAACCTGGGATGTGGGGTGAGTGGATGTGCCTGTGAGGCTGTGAGGCCTGGCCATATCTGCAGGGCACATTCTTGTTTAATGACAATTTCACCACCTAAGAACCTGGAGCAGATCCACTATGATTTTTAGAGACACAGCCCCTGTGGACTTACTTGATTTGTCTTAGAATTGTAGAGGAAATACACTCTTGCTCATATTTCTCACTCTCCCCTTGTCTTGTCTATAATTCAGGCTTTCACTTAACTCAGCCATTTCCTTGCACCCTGGAACAATTTATGAAGCTCATTTTCATGCTTGAATGGGAGCTGAGTGTATAGGAAGGGCTGCTTCCTGCCCTATTCTATCCTTGCAAGACAGAGCTAGAAAAGTGTCCTTTGCTTTTGTTTCTGGTGGTGTCCATATAGCACTAAGCAAAGAAAAGGTCTGTACAAGGCCTACTTAATCAGATAAGTGCTGATGGATAAATTGGACTTGGTGATTCCCGAGAACTTTGTACTTTGGAATAACATGGTTAAGTTGACAGGAAACCCAGGACAAGTCCACTTGACTCCATGCCCTAGAGACACAACCTGGATCGTTTTCCATCAAACTCTTCTAAAGGTGTGGAATGGAGGAAAAACTATGTTAATCTTATTTTCATCTATAGAACTCCTCCTTATCAAACAAATTCATGAAAGAGTCCTAAACCCAGAGTGAGATTATAGACCCGCTGCAGAACAGAGGGTGTCTTTTTGAGCTGGCCTACCTGAGCCACAGGTGTCACCAAGGTGGCAAGTTTGAATCATTGTATCTCGCACTCCATGTTGACACAAAACCTCCTCCATGCCCTTTCTAGGCTGGTCTGGTTATGACACTGGCAACTCTGGCCTCCATCCTCACTTTACTCTAAAAAAGAGGGTCTTAAATTTGTAACCTTTGGATTTGTAACATTCAAAACGTTTGAAAATGGGTAGGGATGTAGGGGGCAAGCTGGGGGTAGGGTGATGGAAAATGCAAGGAGGAGGGGTGCAAAAGTGGAGAGCCAGGGTGGGCCTCCCTAAAGCATGCTGCTGAGTATTTCTGACACTGGGGAGGTGGGAGGGCCCTCCCGGCTCATCTTGGGGCTTGTGGGGCAGGGCAGACTAGAGTGGCCTCCAGGGGGTGGGCTCAAGCCGGCCCATGGCTTCGTGTCCTGGGCCACCAGGTCCTCAGGGTAGGGCTCAACATAAATGCGGTGGACTGAAGGCCTGGCGTCATGGCGGCTGCTCTTCTGCTCCTCAGGGAGGCTGGCGGCATGGGCCAGAGCCAGGCCCCGGGGCCCATCGAATGCGGGTCCCGACTGGTCGGCCTCCCCGGCTTCCTGGGGCAGCCCGCAGGCCCCGGACAGGTGCTGTGTGTAAATGCCCTCAGAGAGCGACAGTGACTGTGTCTCGCTGCGCATGCGCAGCCAGCGATGGTGGCGGCTGAAGCCCCCGTAGTGCTGGTGTTTGCCTGGCTTCCGCTTTCCCAGAAAGCCCAGCGGCGGCCGGGCGCCTGGCACCATCTTGGCGTGGTTCTTGGGCGCAAAGCCCGTGAGAGTCAGGCTGTGGAGGAACTCGGAACACGCATGGTCGGGATCTGGGCCCTGGACCAGGCCCTGGGGATCCTGACTCTGCCCCGCAGTGGTCTTCATGTCGTGCACCTGGAGGACGTCGGGGGCGCTGCCGCTTAGGCCGCTTAAGGCCTGCTGGGCAATGTCGTGCGATGACAGGTAGACTAGGTCCAGGTCTCGGGGACTCAGGGCGTCACTGGAGTCATAGTCGCTGTCTGTGGGGAGGAAGACTTCCGAGCAGGCTTCTTCATCAGAGCAGGGCTGTGAATCTGCAAAGTCAGTAACGGATGTCAGGAAGAATATAAACACTTAGCCAGAACTTGCTTCACAGTTGTAGTATGGGCACATTAGGTACCTCCCCGCCCCCTTGGAAGGGCCCCACACTTCTTTTAATGCGCCACTGTCATCGCTTGAAATTCTTAATAATTTTGAACAAGAGGCCTCACATTTTCATTTTGCACGGGGCTCCGCAAGCTATGTAGTGGGCTCTGATCTTAGTTTAAGGGAAACGAGAGAGGAACTCCGACAGGTCCAACCCTGACAGCAGTGGGGAACATCCTCTTATTCTCTACACACGCTTTTATTATTTGCTGGGTTTTGTAGAGAGGATAAAACAGGAAACAAAGCTGGATGTTATTAATTCATTCTCTATTCTTATTTTGGAGATGATTTTTGCACTTGACAAAATAGCAGGAATTTAAAAGGGTGAAAGAAGAAGACGACTGTCTTTGGCCAGATTTGGTGGCCAAAGTCGGTTGGTTTCTAATCCTAGTTGCCCTCCATCTACTTGCTCTGTGATTTTGGGAATGTTACTTAACTTCTTTTGTGCTTCAGTTAACTTATCTGTAAAATGGGGTTGATAATAGAACTTCTTACCTATGGTGGCTGAAAAATAATGTATCTAAATACTTAACCACAGCACCAGGTGTTTGAAAGAAAATGCAGAAATAGAAGTAAAGTTAGGCAGAAATAAGCCTCAAAGTGCACACTGTAACGACCATGAGAGAGCTACAAGTTTAAGTCTGTAGATACTTGTCATTTAATGTGCTAGTTGTTTATATATATTTTTTCCCAATCAGGTTGTGCATTTCTGTAGGGCAAGGACTGTCTAAAATCCTTTGACTTTCCCACAGAATTGAGCCCATAGCAGGTACTTGGTAAATACATGTTAATTTTTGAAAACATATAAGTCCTCTTAAAAAGAACAACTAATTACTAATCTGTAAAACTGAGGCAATCCCAGTAAAAAAAATCTTAACAGAATTTTTAAATGGAATTTAATAAATTAATTTTGAAATTAATCTGGAAGAGAAAATTAATGAAGAGTAGTCAACTTTTTTTTTTTAAGGATATAATAGGGAGGAGCCTGATTAACAGATATCAAAGAATATTATAGTGCTTTGGTTATTGAAACTTTGCAGTATTGGTGTAGAAATGGACAGATGGAGGTATAGGATAGAAAAATAAAGTCCAGAAACAGTGTGATAATTCTGTGTGATAATTTAACATATGGTAAAGATAACATTTCAAAGTAGAGGAGTGAATGGATTATTCAGTATATAGTGGGATAATTGGTATCCTTTTAGCAAAGTAATTAGAGAAAGTCCTACCTCATACCATATATAAAAATAAATTCCATATGAGTTAAATATAATGAGCAAACCTAAAAGTATTAAAAGACAATATGTTTGTAATTTTTGGGTGGGAAGGTCTTTTTAAGCAAGATAAAACCCCAGAAGTGATAAAAGTGACTGATATATTTGGCTACGTAAAAGTTTAATAGTTTATAAAACAAATTATATCATAAAGTAAAAAGGTAAATGATAGATTGGAAGAAAATAATAATGACATGTATAACTAAAGATTAATATCCTGGATATATAAAGAACTTCTAGAAATCAGTAAGGAGACCATGCAAATGGGCAGAATGTAAGAACCAACACTTTATTAATTCAAACGACCAATAAACATTATTATATTCAACCTAGACAGTAATTAGGGAAATGGGAGTTGAAACTTCAATGAGGCATTTTTTGGCCATCAAATTTAGAAAACACAAAAGAGTGATAATCTCATCTGTTGGTGATGTGTGGGAAATCAGAGACTCCCACATAATGATGGGGGAAGTATAAACTGGAACAGTTCTTTGGACAGCAGTTTAGTAGTCTATCTATATTAAAAATGTTCATATCACCTGTCCTGGAAGGTCTTTATGTTTGAGAAAGGTATCTATGTTTGAGAAATTGTTACCATGTACACATGGAGGCATTTACAAGTTGTTTACTTCAGCAGGATTTATAATAGTGAAAAACTAGAAATTATCTTGTTATTGAGAGTGCTGTGAAAGGAAGACAGAGGCACAGAAGCATTAAGAAATGAAGCATAATTTACTTGCTGAGTTCTGCAAGGGAGTCCATATTCTGAAGGACTAGCTTGCTGATAAAAAAAATTCAGGGATAAAGTTTGTTTTGGTAGGGAGTCAGTATCATCGTCTTTTCTATTTTAGGGACTAGAGCTAGATGGAATGTTTTTTTGTCTTGTTTATTTTAGAGTCAGGGTGTAAAGCACTTTTTTTTTTTCCTGACTGGATGAGCAAGGATGACATGCATACTTGCTCATAATTGGCAGGGCAAGGTATCAGTTTTTCCTTCTCTTTGCTGGTTGTTACCCAATGTCCGTTATCCTTTTTTTAGTTACAAAATATTAATTTTGTTTGGGACAGTGATATACTCGTATAAAATACTACTTTTTTTCCCAGCTTCCCTTGCAGCTAGTTGTGGCCATATAATTAAGTTCTGGCCACTGAGATGGAACTGGAAGTATTGTATCAAACTTCTGGAAGTCTGCCTAAAGGAAGGTGGCTTAGCTGGGACATGGGCCATTTCATTGTTCTTTTCTTCCATCTGCCTGTGACAGGATGTGTTGGATAGGGTCATGCAACAACCTTGGAAATAGAAGCCATGTGCTAGGATGTTGGTGTTGAAAAACAGAGCTTGATGTCTAAAGACCATAAAGTTCACATACCAACCCTGAATTGTCTACCTCTGAGCTTCTCTCACACAAGAAAGAAAGAAAATATCTTGTGTTTACGACTCTTATTTGGGTTCTCTATAACATGAATCTAAACTTAATCCTAAATGATATAATCCTAAATGCTCATCAGTAGGAGAATGGTTAAATAAATCATGGCACATCTGTATTGTGGAATATTATCCAGCAGTTACAAAGGATGCAATCAATTTATATATTGTTCTTTAAATAATGGCTACCAAAAAGGATTCCCTCTCCTACTTTTTTGATGTCTTCTCGTCTGTCCCACATTTTCCTCAAACATAATCTCCTTTAGGAAGCATCTCCCAACTGTCCCAAAAGGGATTGCTCACTTCTTTGTACTGCTGTAACACTCATTGTGCTTTCGTACTTAGCCTGTATAGATTTGTATTATTAATTATCTTTCTTATGTAAATATAACATTATGGTTTCCTGGTTAGAGCATGAGCCCTTTTAGGGAAGAGATATTTAATTCATCCATTCATTCACAATGAATCTTTTCTGTATTGCTTGAGTTCCTGCTTTGACAGAAGCACTGTACTTGGTAATTGAGTGGATATAAAATTAATAAGAAATTATATCTGTATCTAGGGAGTTTACTATTTTAATGGAGGTATAAAGCAAATATGCATTCATGAGACTATGGCAGAACACAGGTTTTATAAGAGAAGTTTACCAAATAAGATGCAAGTATATAGGAAAGGGGGATTACAATTTATTGGGACAGGATTGATGAAATACTCTATCATTTCATATTTGTTTTTTACCTCCATTTGTTCATCTCTATTCTCTATATTAATTTATTTCTTCATCCACTTTCAAAAAGTGACTTGAGGCATCTTTTAATAACATGCAAACAATAAGAGGATTAGAAACCAGAGAGGAAGAGGAAAACAGTGCAAGCAGTCCTGTTTGACTAGAATATGGGGAGCAGAAATGGAATTTTGGTAAAATGAAGCTACAAATGCAGGTTGCCAACAATTGCACCCTTGGGAATTTATCCCAGAAAAATTAGGGCTTATTTTCATACAAGGACCTGTACATGAAAATATTCATATCAACTTTATTGGTAATACCCTCAAACCATTAATAGAAACTACCCAAATGTCCTTCAGAGGATGAATGGTTAAACAAACTGTATTCCATACCATGAAATACAACTCATCAATAAAAAGAAAGAACCCCATGTACGTAACATTTGTGAAATAACATAAATTTAGAGATGAAGAACAGGTTATTAGTTGCCAAGGGTAGGGATGAGGTGATAGGTAACGCTATAAAAGGGGAACAGGAATTCTGTGGTGATGTTATACTTGAGTGTCCTGTTGATGGTGGTAGTTACCCAAGGCTACACATGATAAAATTGCATAGATTTGTACATGCAAGCCCATGTGTGTGTATAGGTACATGTGTGTACACACACACACACACAGATGATTTTATGTGTAACTGGAGAAATCTGGATAAGCTCTATGGATTGTACCAACTTCTTGGTTTTGATATTGCACAAGGATTATGTAAAATGGTAACATTAGTGGGGGGCTGAGGGAAGAGTGCATGGGACTTCCTCTATATTTCTTTTCTATATCTGTAATTATTTCAAAATAAATGCTTTTTTAAAAGAGCATTTAATTTTTAAAAAAGGTAGAGTATAACCAGAGGAGTGTATTGAATGTCTAGATAAGGAGTTTGTACCTAATTTTGTAGCCAGTGGGCAGGATTTAAAGAATATTAAAGAATTTTGAAGAATTGACAAGATGAGAGCTGTGATTTAGTATATAAATAGTAAGGTAGCAGGCTGGATGTAAGATGAACTTGATGAGGAAGAGATATCAGGGAGGCCAGCTAGGAAGCTGTGGTACAAGCTTTGTTTCCTCTAAGTATTTACCTTGTTCAGACTATGAGGCTAAGCAAGAGCTGGGGTTGTATGGAGAAAAGTAGAAATTCAGCAAAGTCATTAATTCAAATATGTTTACTGAGCTGGTGTTCTGTGCTAGGGAAAATCTCTGCTTTCAAGCAGCTCATAGAGGTTGGATTAGACAAACAAGTGAGAAAATGCCTAAGATTAATTCATGATAGTACAAAGTTCTATGAAGAAAATGAAAGTGGATTTTAGCTAGAGAGTGACTTAAGGGGAAAATTCTTTCAATAAAGTGGCCAAGGGAAGGGATCTCTGCAGAACAGGGAATCTAGGTGAGAACTCAGTGATCAGTAGGAA